GAGATTAAAAAAAAAACGTTCCCATGATTCCTCAAGTGCGGGCCTGGGCGCTTGAGGGCTTTAATGGGGGAATGAAGCTCTCGGCTGCTTCCGGCCGGCCACTGATCTTTATGAAGTACATCCGGTCCGAAGAATTACTTCCGATTGCCGCGCTCCCAGCGGGCGTGGGCAGATGTCATTTTGTTCGAAACAAATATGATTTATATAATTTATAATGTTAAATAAATCAGGAGGGAAGTTGTTATGGAGGCATGAATAGCTTTGAAGGTTGTTATCGCAACTTTCTCTTTCACTCTTTCAACATGTCTGGGCGCGCTTTCCCTCTCGCTGGACTAGCGCGAAACACATGTACGACGAAACCTTCCGATCCGAAGTGCGGACTGCCGGAATGACCTTGGGGTGCGAGGGTTTTCGTAGCATCGGAGAGCGTTGAAAACCCTCGCCTCCGACCGTCGTATTGCGCGGTCGGACGTCGGATCGGAAGGTTTCGTCGTACATGTGTTTCGCGCTTTAACCCTGGAGCCAGTCCACCGCCGGGAAGTCGGTGGACCGCTAGAACGGACGACAGACGCGAGCTGTTCTGCTTCGGGGGAAACCTCGCCGCAAAAAATTCGTGCAAGCGCAATTTTTTTTTTTTTTTTTTCTTGCGTGGAAACTTGTTGTGTTGTTGGAATGTGGTTAAACAAGGATTCTCGCCATCTCCATACCAGCTAGTGTCTGTGCCAAGTGGGGGAATAATTACTGCTGAAAGCCGGAACTCAAATGGTTTCGAGTCCCAATTCGGACGAGAGGTACACGCTGTTTCGCTCTTCTCTGGCTTTGGTTTCCGATTAAATGCTTCTGACAGCAGAACCTAACTGTCGCAGTTTTAGTGAATATTAAGCGTTTTATTTCGGCAGTACAGTTGAGCCTCGATTTAGGGAAGTCACCGGGACCCGCTAATTATTTCGTGTAATCGGGAAGATTGTAAAATCAAGCAAGGGAGACCTCGCCCATAGGCCGCGCGGGGAATGCGAATTTGTTCGTTAAATCGGGAAATTCGTAAAATCCGGTTTTGTTCAATCGAGGTTCAACTGTAGCTGCAATAGTTTCAAATCACAAAACGAAATTCTGTCAATGTTTAGGATTCCCCGCCTTCAAATCACTCGCCCCAAAAAATACGTGTCAGTGTCAAATAACTTGAAACTTCTATCTAACATCAAGATTGAGCACATGTTCATTTCGAAACATCGTAAAATTGTTGCAGTTAGCTGCTTATTTGGGATAGTTATCAGCAACTCACGGGTCTGTTCGCGAGTAGTAAAAATCGACCCTCCATCTTTTTTCTTTTTTTTTTTTTCCGATGAAGTGATGATAAGCCAGGAGCTATCCCTACTGCTGACTGTTGGCGAGTTTGTAGTGTGCATTAGAAAACATGACTGTGCTCAGTGATTTCCCTACACATCCCCCTGGGAAAGGGGTGTATACTACCCCCCCCCCCTTGTTTTTGTAAAGGCATCCCTTTAATTTGCGACGACTCCTCTATTCTCAATGCCCCCGCTATCCTCCCCCCCCCCCCCCCCTAAAAATTTAGACACCCCCCTAATTGCGATTCCTGGGGAACCCCCGATTGTGCTTTAGGACAAGGACAGTGGAAGTACAGACGACACAGAGCGCTCTGTGTTGGTTGTTCTTCCACTGTCCTTGTCCTAAAGCACAATCATGTTTTCTATCCTTACTGGTTCACCGTTCCGTTTAGTATTCACGCACTTTGAAATTCAAGACTAAAACATAATGCAAGTTCATGATGAAGACCCAATGCCAAGGAGCCGAACTTCTGTATTTTAACCTCACTACTTCAGATGCAAGACACCATCGTGAGTCTTTATTTATTTTGACATACAATGTAATCAAATTCGACATGACTGTTAATTTAGCGTGAAGGCATTTAACTCAAGGAGAAGAAAAAATAGAGAGGAAGCACGGGCCTTTAGTGTCGCGGTGTTGAACTTGAAGTACAGTTCTTTGAAAAGAGATACAGACGATCATACGATCGTATGACGTCGATCATACGACCGATGTCAGGCATCATATGCAGGTAGTCCAACCAAGCAATTAATTAAACTTTTTTTTCTAGGCTTCACACCTGTGGCTGAACGGCGCAAAGTGTTTCCGCAAGCACGCATATCATCACCTCCGTCGCACCTCACCATCCCCTTGTGTCCTGTTTTGTTTTTGTTCATTGTTAATTTATTGGATTCGTTTGTGCAAAGTAGTGAAGAATTTTTCTGTATTTTCTGCTCCTTTTTGAATAAAAATGAACGCAAAAGAACACATTCGAGAATTTTTTGCGTGTGTGTGCCTCATGTTACTTTGCTAGGCTTGTTCTGCTTAGCTGATGGTTTCCGCGTTTGAATGCGGGCTTGAGTGCATACGAACCAGCATTGAAACGCGAAAACCAGCAGGAAAGCAGCAGAGGAGTAGCAAAGCAACACGTAAAACTAAGAAAAACTAAAAAAGAAAACACACACACACAATGGTGTTGCTTCACAAGTTCGATTTTGGTTTCGCTCTACTATACCATGTTAATTTTAGTACAGTCTCCGGGCACCAGGGGATTCATATGGCGCTGCGTACTCCCAGGGTTTAGAGTTCCAAGAGCTTCGTAGAAGTAGCGACCCTCTTTGAAGCGCCGACCAATGTTACTCGATCAACTCAGTTGGCAAACTCCCATGGAGAGATCGATGCCTTCTATAAAGCCTTGCCTTTCTAAGACACGCGCTGAGGCGCGTCAGCTTCTGCTGATAACCCCTAGATTCGGAAATGCTGTTTGATGCGTCATCCTTCTTGTCCGCTGCGGCCGTGTTATGAACTGCTGTTGCAAGAGTTTGCTAACTGAGTTGATCGAGTAACGTTGGCGCCGACTGCTTGACGGTGCAGGTTTTAGGAAGCGTATGGCGGCGCACAGCAGAAGACTGAACTGGATGACGCCATTTTGTTCCAGAGGAATGTGCTGCGTCATTTGTGCTGGTTGTCGTTACTTTTACAAGAAGCATCAAGGGACCTTACCAGTATATTTACCAGTTCGCGTCCTGTGGGCGGCATAGGAATTTACACTCCTCTGCAATCAGCATGTGGGGATGAAGAAGCATGCGTAGCTCGAGACGTTGGTGTTCCTTGTGTCTCCAGGCGCGCCTGGCGCGCATAGAACATCAACGTTTATTTATTTTATCTGTTCAAATAAGCAAGTGTGGCTTAGACACTACCGATATGCCCCACTCTGTTTGGGAGGATTGAGGGTGAATTTGCCATCGAACTTTCTTCTTTGGTGGATTTCGTTTAAGAGTGCGCGGTAGCTCTATTTATTCGTCCGTTTCAGCCACCAGATGGCGCGCGGCTCGAAACGTGCTTGAACGCGCAACTTCTAGATGGCGCCAGTATCGAAGTGTGAAAAGGCCCGCGTTATCCGCTGCGTGAAATAGACCGCCGAAATGTGCCGTGTTTTCCCGGCGGAGGAAGTTTCTCCTTCCCTCGCGCGCGCTTGGTATGTCTGTGGTCAGTCAGCTCAGTGTGCACAGCATCGGACGTCAGTGATAATACGCGCGGTGGCCGAGTCCGATTGCGGTGACCACGAACCGTACGGAGGTCACAGAACGTCCGTGAAAAATAAAAAGGAGGAAAAGAACGATCTACTCCGCACGCTTCATCCCCGATTTCCACGACGCCAAGGCCGAAGGACGTTTGTGTGAAAGATAACGATAAAATAAAACTTTGCGTCAAAAAAAGCCCGTTTTTAAAAGAAAACAAAAAGTACAAAGAAGCACAACGCATTGAGGGACCGCGAGGTTGTGGAACACCTCGTGGTGCGCTTGCCACAGGATGGTTGTCTTCGACCCATAACTCCAAGGTAAATTTGCCACGTGCGAAAACACGGAGACCTACCCACCGAGTACCAGGAAAGCGAGACACGCACACTGACGCCTCGGCGTGCAGAATGAAACAGGATACGGGCACGGAATACGGCCGCGGAAGAACACTTTGCACTGTGCCGATCCGGCCGATCTCCGAACGGACGATTTCGCATTTCGTGGACAGCGAGCGCCACCTCACGGGAGAGAGAGGTACCTTAAAAACAACGAAGACAAGCACCGACACCTTGGTTCTTTATATTCGCTGTAGTTACAGAACAGATCGACTTACATGAATAATTTGGATATTATTCGATTCCGTAATAAATTTATAAGACATTAAGCAGAACACTTTTTCTGTTTGCGCTTAGATAATTTTGTAAATTCGCTCCGAACGCAAGAGTGCCGAATTAGCCGATTTTGACCATTTTCATAATTTTTTTTAAAGAATATAATTATATTTATAATAAAACATTTCTTCCGCTTAATGTCTCGCTAATGACTCGATGTCTTTAAAGCCAAAATGTTCAAGAAGATCCGCGCAGCCGTTATTATGTGAGAATTTTTCTAAGTTGGTGAAAAACCTCATGTATTCTCTATGGGGCTCTGAGGTGCGCCCCCTCTTAAGGGTGAGGGTTCTAGGTGTGCTGGTTTGAGAAGCTGTATGAACATTGTGCATTGTTTCCGTTGATATGGATGTTAAATGAGTGTGACTTGGCCACTATAGATATGCACCCCCCCCCCCAATCAAATGGCCTATTACACGCTTTGTGTTCAAGCAATGGCGACCACCAGTGTTGCTTGATGGGCTCTTGAGAAGGGACAGATAAAAACCAGAAAAACACAAAGTTGAACCCATTTTAGTTCAACTTTAATTCGTAATGCTGTGAATGACTACTCGCATGAGGAGTTAACTATTCGCAAAAGAACTGCAATTCCTCTAATACATTTGCATTACTTGAAGAAAACAATAATATAACCTCGAGCCTACATTTCTTTCTTTTTTTTTTACATTCACGCGAGTTTATAACCTTTGCAGGGGAGTGCATAAGCCGTCTGTTGTCTACGAATGCATGAAATATCAACAATTTTGGTCGGAAAGAAAAGGACACCTTTGCAATGGACGATAACGTTTTATTGCGTGTCCACCAGTTGTTGGCCTTGCAAAATATTATATAGAAAATCCCTGGATCCAAGGCATTCAATTGACGGTTTTCACAGCGATGGCGTCGATTTCCACACGTGCTCGCTGCAGAGAGAAGTACGACGCAGCCGAGACTTGGTTGGTGCACGAATCGAATTGATCGTTTTATCTTCAACGTTATCATACAAATAAACCACGATCTAGTTATATGTGAAATTCGGCTAATAAATGAGGAAGATGAAGGCAAAGTTTCTTAATAGTTCGTCATAACATTTCGTCAGTATTTCGGCACAGAGGTATCGCAACAAATGGTACTTTCATACTTTAAGAAGCTGATACCGAGAGTGTATTAGTACCCTTGCAAAGACTTACCTTGGCTAGCTCGGCTACGCGAATTGTGACTCTGGCAGGGGGCTCCTCTGAAAAGACTGAAAATAATTGCATAAAAATTAAAATGACGGCGCCTTCGGGCCCATTAATCGCCGCCATAAAAAGCCGACAGAGAGCAAGGCTGAAACCTACACTCGCCGTAAATCTTGTTCATGTCGTCGTAGTCTTTCATGTCTGCAAGGTACACGGTGCACCTTACCACTGCAATTTAAAAACAGAGAAAATTGCAATTAACAGTCATTTTGGTGTTTATGTCTAGCAATAAGGCGCGAAACACATGTACGACAAAACCGATCCGACGTACGACCAGGCAATAGGACGGTCAGAGGCGAGGGTTTTCAACGCTCTCCGATGCTACGAAAACCCTCGCCTGACTCCGGCAGTTCGCACGTCGGATCGGAAGGTTTCGTCGTACATGTGTTTCGCGCTTAAAGATGCAAAACTGTAACATGAAGCGCTAAACCATAGCGAATCGCTGGGCAATTTTGTTTCACGTGAAACGTGGGGTTTCAGTCGGATTCCTCTGAGATTGGTGTCTACGCTCTCGGCGCTTTTCATCCGTTAGTTTAGCGACTGGCTTAAGGCGTGGCATGTACACTCGATAACAATTTGCGAAATTGAGATACCGGCGCTATCCCGGGTTTCAAACCCCTGGTTCTCTTCCAGAACAGCCTGCAGATGCTTCTCCGACGACATCCAACCACCGCCTGGCGGGCGAGCGATGGTGCGTGAGTGATTGCGAAATCACCAGCCAATCAGCGTCGGGTGAGCGTGGCTTCTCGCGTGACGTCATACCTGAACCAGCCAGTCAGCGTCGAGCTGGGGCTGTGATCATCACCTGGCTCACTCAATCAGCGTCGAGTTAACCGGCGGCTTCACATTTCGGCTTCAGACATCTCTAGACGCTCCCTGACGAGACAAAGCACGTTTCATGTGAAAATTTATGGGACGTCATATTAAAATTCAGGTTTATGCATACCGATGGTCTCTTTCTATGGCATCGCAACTCAAAGGTCGACGCACACTTCGCGCTTCCCACTTTATCCTCACCCCCTCCTTTCCCCTAACCTTTCCGCTTTCCGATCGCTCACGCCAATACCGCATAGAAGACAAGGCCCGCTCGTGACGTCATAGTCAGAGGACCCCCGACCCGCCCCCGGCAAACGGGCTGAAGCTTGACGAGAAGGCGCCACAAAGCGGTAGACGCGTCCGTCGAGACGTCACCGCGTCTCGACGGACGCGGTGACGTGTCTGGAAATTTTTATTTATTTATTTAAATAACCCCACAGCGCCCGTGAGGGCATTATAGTAGGGGAGGGGCAAATACAAAATGAACATGACGCTAAAGAACACTTAATTGCTTAAACAGTCAAAACTCAAAAGGTGACTTACCCGGAGCAATTAACAGGAAAATAAAAACAAACGAAAACCCGAACCAGCGTAAAAGTAGACACTGCACTCGTGAATATATACGAACAAAGCTGAAGTTTGTAGGAATAACAAGTTTTAAGAATCTGACAATGCGTGATTAAATTGAGAGCTTACGTTAGTTGAGACAATCTCTTCAGGTTCCAGTTGAGTATTGTGCAAGGAAAAAATGAGTATTTGTAAATGTCTGTTTTGCTGGTAAAGGGCCTAATTTTTCTGATGTGATCCAGGCGAAGTGAGGTGAAATAAATATTGCGTTTTGTCGATTCCACACTGATCGTAATATATGCTATGAAGGAGTTTCAGGCGGAAGCATTTTACGGCGATTCAGTAGAGGCTGCCAGTTAAGTTCACGTTTCATGGCAGTTACACTTTGACCACGCGAGTATGCATTAAGGACAAATCTGGCGGCTCTGTTTTGTATCAGTTCTATATTATTTATCTGGTACTGCTGGTGGGGATCCCAAACTTCTGAAGCGTACTCTAGAATGGGCCGAATATTTGTGAGATACAGAGTGTTTTTGACCTCTTGAGGAGAACTTTTGAAATTGCGTTTGATGAAGCCTAGCATCCGATTAGCTTTAGCAGTCATATACTCAATGTGAAAGCGCTATGACAAATCACGGGAAAAGTAAACGCCTAAATATTTTACTTGTAGTGACATGTTGATGGAAATATCGTTAATCTGGTACATGTTGGTGATAGGGTTACGCTTTCTAGTTGCGCGGACGAAGTGACATGTGTTAACGTACAAATCCATTCCCCAAGTGCTACACCAGTTTGCTATGCGGTCAAGGTCGGCCTGCAGAGTGATACAATCATTGAATCAACTTACTGCTCGATAAATTATACAATCGTCAGCATACAGGCGTATACTATAAAAAAAACGTCTACAACAACATCATTGATAAATATTAAAAATAAAAGCGGCCCCAACACCGAGCCCTGGGGTACACCAGAAGTGACGGAAATAAAATCGGATGACTTGCCATTAATTAATAGCGAGTTCGTTTCACGGCACTCGTGCCCACGCGTGCCCACTCGCAGCGTGGAACGGGTTCGTTTCGGCCGGCACTCCACGAGTGGTTGCACTCTCCGAGTTCGTTTCAGCGCTGACACCCCACGCGTGCATGCACTCGCTGCACCGAGAAAATCGGGAGTGCGCCAAAATGCAATCCCGTCATGCCTCGCTCCGGTGGGGCCGGCGAGGAGCGGGAGCAGACGACGAGGGTTCGTCTGCTACGATGTGTCGCGGAACCGAACGGAAAAAAAAGAGTAGATTTTCTGATAGAAATCGCGTCCCACGGGCAACGAAATCAAACGCGAGCTTCAATTGTGAGCGTCTGCTATTTCACGAAGGATGCAATTGACAACCCGTGATTTATTTGCAGGTTTTAAATCGCTCCGTTGCCGTACAAACGCTGAAATATACCAGTGTGTAAAGAAATGCTCAGAACAAACGCTACAGCGGCCCCCGAGATGTCTATCACCATCCGTGTGCGGGTGAAATATTTAACATTTGTCGACAAAACTCCCCCAGCAGAAACCTCTGACTGCCAAATAAGCATAAGAGAAATCTAAAGATGGAGATTTTACCCCAGGATTGGGCAACATCATCATGTTTAACATTTACCTACGTCAGTTAACTTGCCCCGTCGTATTTTGTTCGAGAAAGCTCTCGTTCTCGACGCCCTCACCAAGGCTAATATCTAGTCCACCTATAATGCCGATCCAAATCGAAAGTCTCAGTTTTGCTGGATATTCCAACAGGCTAGTTTTAAGCCGTACCCTTTCAGTGGTTCATGCGTAATACTATGCTCAAACGGATCAAGCTTCTGCTCGGACAGCATCATCAGTTTTCTTCAGTGTAAACGGTTATAAGCATTGAAAGATCGCAACCAGCTGCTTTGTAGACAGCTGGTCGCGGAAATTTACGCCGTCTGTAATTATCTCTAAGGCAGCCTAGCTGCTTGAAGTCATCGCAACTATAAACTACAAGTTGCAGCGACCAAAGTTTGTAGATAAACGTTGGTAGCGACTGCATTCTCGCATTTCCACGCATCACTCCGAACAGAAAGGCGCTAGTTTCGGTTTGAAGTCGGTACCTTTACCACAACATAGGTGGCGGCAGCATCAGTCTTCTGCACTCGGTGCGTTTGGCGAGTTCGTTTGAGTCCAGTTTTCCGTGCAACACTCTGTGAGTGCGATGCATTCTGGGAGAGAACTCGAACGGTGCCAGTGCGTGTGAAACGAACTCGCTATAACACTGCTTGAGTCCTGCCACTTAGGTAATCTGCTAACCATCCAAGAACTTTACCATCTATTTTTAAGGACTTCATTTTATGCAAATTAATTTATGTGGCACGAGATCAAAAGCTTTCCGGAAATTCTTTTCTTCAATTTTCAAAAATGACGTCATCCACTAACAATGACGTCATTCGCGGGCCTTGTCTTCTAGGTGGTATTGCTGCAACACGGCTCCCCTCGCAGCTTAGAAGAGGAGGGCGATAAAAAAGATCCTATCCTTCCTCCAAAATACCGAGGTTTTACGTCGGCCTTTTAATGTGCGCACTTATAGACGGCTACTTAAAAAAGATTGCATTATTGCTTCGGAGTCAATGAGATCAATGCATTCACCGATAAGAACGCCGAGGAGCGAAACAGAAAGCATATTCAGTTTAAACAAAATAAGACACACGTCCTGTCTTCCTGAAGCTAGCGTCAATTATACAGCACGTACCCTAACGCTTTTAAGGCACTTCATAGACGGCCCGTAAAAATTGGTTTTACAAAGTATCGCGCTGCGATTTACAACAAAGGTGTGAGCAGGTGGTAGGAGTTTACACCGAAACAATAAAAAAAAAATGTTTCTTCGTTCAAAAGGAAAAAGAAATACGCAGAAACCTGTTCTGGACAACCTACGCCGCCACTTCGCAGACGATGCACGCGTAGTGAGAAGTGCTGCCGACAGGTGGCGCACGCCACGTCGGGGGAGGTAATCTGCTAACCATCTCGACTGAGTTGCGGTGAGCGGACGTGTTTCCTGGTTCTCCTCGAGCATCCGAAGCTAAGTGCCAGTTTTTCTTCTTTTCTCTCTCTTTTTTTGAGAGTTGATTGGAAGTGACTATGCGGTAGCAGTATTAGGTTTGAACAGCAGCAGTTAACGTTAGTTTCGCAAAGTAGGCTCTGTTTGAATTTTTGGCGGGAAGGGACGGTTTGTTCCCGGTCTAGACATGGGTCTAGATTTGGGTCGGCATGACAAGGGTGGGGACGAGTTGGTGCAGTGCGAGGGGTGTGGGAGGTGGTGTTACCTGGAGGAGACGGGTTTCGGGAGCCTGGAGGTGGCGGCGGAGGTGAGTTTCGAGTGTCGGCTTTGTGTGAAGCTTCAGCAGGTAACTGGGGAATGGGAGGGTAGAGTTCGGGAGATTGAGGCCCAGCTTAAGGCAGAAGGAGAGAAGCGGGTGGGTCTCGAGGCCCAGGTAGAGGAGCTGACTAGGCAGCTTAATCATGAGAGGGAGCAGCGGGTCGGCCTCGAGAAGCAGGCGGAAGAGCTGGGGGAAGTATGGAAGGCGGGTTTAGAGGAGCGTAAGAGGGAGTGTGACAGTAGGGTAGAGCGCCTGGAAGGGGTAATTCGAGCGTGTGAGAGTAGCGAGGGAAGAAAGGAGGAAGTGTCAGTTCTAGCGGGACGAACCACCAGTCTGCAGGCTGGGGTCCCTGGTGGTCGGGAGTCCGGCCTGTTGGCAGGCGGGCTCGACGACGCTGGAGAGCTGATTGAACCTCAGCTCAATGGCGCCTTCGAGCAGCAGGCGTCGGGCAGTCAGGTGACAGGAGATAAGTCGCAGGACAAAGGCGCGCAGGCACCAGGGGGATCTAGGGTACTGGTAGTGGGGAGCTCTAACGTAGCACGGGTTAGGAGGGGTGTACATAACAGGGTGAAGGGAGACCAGAGGGTAACCGTAGAGGTCCAGCCAGGGAAGTGTATGGTGGATGCTATGACCGCAGCACGTGAGGGGGTGTGGGATAACCGGGAGGGAAGGAACCTAGTAATAGTTCATGCGGGGCTTAATGATGTGCTGAAGGGTAGGAGCCAGAACCTCGGAAAGCAGCTAAACGTGGGAATACGTAAGCTGAGGGACGTGTCTGAGAATGTGCATGTGGTTGTGTGCACCATTCCAGAAGTTCGGGGGCAGTCCGGGTTAACGGAGAGGAGGGTTGTCGAAGCCAACGGAGTAATTAAGGGTATGAGTCGACAGCTTCGGTACGACGTAATGGAAGTAAACAGAGAAGTGTACGAGGCTGGCTCCCGCCCTTTTGCAGATGGCATTCACTACAGTGAGGCCACGGGTTACAGGGTGGGGGATAGGATGGGCCGCACGGTGACTGCTTTTTTGGGGGGACCGAGGGCCCTGGGGGCACTGAAGTAACTGAAAACCCAACAAAGTCAGGAGAGGCACCCAGGGTTAAAAAGAGGAGAAAACGTAGGAACAGGTATAAAAAATCAGCACAATCAGACATTGGATATATTAACATGCAGGGTGGTAGAAATAGGTTAAAATGGGAAGAGGTAGAGGAGCAACTAAGAAAGGAGGATTTAATGGTGTATGGGTTTGTGGAAACACATCTCAGAGACATGGAGCAGCCACCTTGCAACCCTGACTATGTGTGGGAAGAATGCAACAGAATGGAGGGAACGAGGAAGGGAGGTGGAATTGGAGCATTTATTAAGAAGAATATGAACTTTCAAAGGATCGGAAAGGAGTGCGCCGAACATTTGTGGCTGAAAGGAAAAGTCGCTGGGGAATCAACAGTCCTTGGAGTGGTTTACTTATGGACAGGGACAGGTGCTAAAGAGGAAAACAGAAAAATGATTGATTGCATATCAAGAGACATTAGTGAACTAGGGGAAGGATCCGAAATAATTATTATGGGAGACATGAATGCCCATATTGAGGGTCTGGATGGGTATACGGACTCAACTGGAAGCATATTACTAGAACTGGTGGAAAAACATGACTTAGTTTTATGTAATACCAGTCAGAAGTGTGACGGGCACATAACTTGGGAAACTGGCAATCTGCATTCAACTATAGATTACGTACTCATGTCACACAAAATATATGGTAAGTTACAAGTAATGAAAATCGATGAAGAAGGTTCCAAAAGTCTTGGTAGTGATCACAAACGTATTAAGCTGAATTTTGCCAGAGAAGTAAATGCTGAAACTAGACAACATAATTCAAAGCAAACTTTCTGCAGCGACAAAGAGTTGGAAATAGTTGTTGAAAGAATAGAGGCAGCAGTTTCAGGGCAACGGCATACAGATTGGACTTATGAGAGCCTAACTAGGCTTTTTTCTCTAGAACTAGACAAAGTTAAGAGTAAACGAAAGGGGAAGCAAGGACATAGACCAAAAAGTTGGTGGGACAAAGAAGTGAAGCAAGCGATACAAAAACGTCAGGAAGCCTCTAGAGAACACAGGTATTCCAAGCGTAGTGGGGAGTCCGAAACGGAAGTAAAAAGAAAATGGGACAATTTTGTAACATGTCGCCGAGAGGCATCCAGTTTGATCAATGCGAAAATTCAGAGAAAGGGTGAGGAATGGATGAGTAATGTAAGTAAGAAAGATAGAAATGCTGCCAAGAAGTTTTGGGAGCACTTGAACTCACTCGGTGAAACAACGCAAGCTAGACAGAGGTTTATACTCTCGCATCAGGGAGATCAATTAGAGGGAGATGATGCGATACAATATATAGGAGCAGTGATGGAGGAGAAATTTCGGGAACGGGTACATGTGGAAGATAGGAGAACCGAAGGAAGTAGCAGTCCAGTTTGTGACATCGCGGATTTTGGACAAAGAGAATGGGAAAAGGCGGAACGAAGAGTCCCTAGTGGCACGTCGACAGGCACAGATGGTATCCCTATCAAGCTGGTGAAGAATTTGGGTCCTAAATCTAAGGCAAAACTAAGGGAGGTAGTGAGTACCATGATAACAAAAGGAAATATTCCAGATGAATGGAGGCTTAGTAGGATGAGTATGATATATAAGGGAAAGGGAGATAAGTCTGATATTAGGAATTATCGTCCTATAACCGTGACACCGGTTATTTACAGGTTGGTAATGCAGATTATAAAGAACAGACTGGAGGAATGGGTAGATTGCGAGGGCATACTGGGCGAGTTACAGAACGGGTTTCGAAAACAAAGAAGGTTGGAGGACAACTTATTTTCTCTAACACAGTGTATAGAAATAGCGCAAAAAGAAAACAGACAGCTCTGGCTGGCATTTCTGGATATCAAGGGTGCCTATGACAATGTGAACCAAAGAAACCTGTGGGACATAATGGAGAACTTAAACCTAGATGAAGGACTAACAGCACTATTAAGGAACATTTACAAAGATAACAAGGTGATTATAACATGGGAAGGAAAGGCGACAGGGAAAATAGAGATAAGACGAGGCCTTAGGCAGGGGTGCCCGTTATCGCCTTTGCTGTTTATGTTGTATCTGAGAGGATTGGAGGATAGACTAGAGAAGAGTGGGCTTGGGTTTAACCTTTCTTACAGTAAGCTAGGCCAAAAAATTCAGCAATCCTTACCGGGATTGATGTATGCGGATGATATTGTACTAATGGCTAACAACAGGACAGAGTTGCAGGAATTAATGAGCATCTGTGGTAGGGAAGGAGAGGAATTAGGTTTAGAATTCAGTAGCGAAAAATCGGCAGTCATGATTTTTAACGAGGATGAAGTTGAGAGGCTGAAGATACAGAATATTACAGTTGAGAGAGCTAGTAAATACAAGTATCTAGGAGTATGGATATGTGATGGTGCAGAATATCTCAGAGACCATGAAAAGTATATAATAGGTAAGGGCAACAGAAATGCAGCTGTAATGAAAAATAGAGCACTTTGGAATTACAACAGGTATGAGGTGGTGAGAGAGATTTGGAAAGGGGTCATGGTGCCTGGCTTGACTTTTGGAAACGCAGTGCTATGCATGAAATCCGAAGTGCATGCGAAACTAGAAATAAAACAGCGCGGAGTAGGTAGACTGGCTTTGGGGGCGCATTGCAAAACGCCAAACCAGGGAGTACAAGGAGACATGGGATGGGCATCATTTGAGAGCAGGGAAGCGGTGAGCAAGGTAGAATTTGAGGATAGGTTGAGGCTAATGGATGGGGAGCAATGGGCACGAAAGGTTTTCAGCTATTTATACATGAGGAGTGTAGACACAAAGTGGAGACAGCGCACTAGGAAATTAAGAGGAAGGTTTTTGGGCTATAGCGAAGATACGGAAGAGCAAGTCTCAGTTAAGAAGAAAGTTAAGGCCACAGAAAGAGATCGGTGGCTAGAGGGAATGCAGACAAAGACTGCTCTGGAAAGCTATAGATTAAACAAACGAGTTATTGCCAAAGAAAGCATTTATGACAATTCTAGGGGAAGCTCATTGCTGTTTGAGGCAAGAACGGGTGTTCTGCGAACCAGAACATACAGAGTGAAGTACCAGGAAATTGATACAGTGTGCACTGCCTGTGGAGAGGAGGACGAGACGGCTGAGCACTTGATACTCTACTGTAAAGGGCTTCACCCTATGCCTACCGAAGACAACATAGATTTAATAAAGTCATTGGGTTTTAGAGACAGCGAAGGGAGAGTGGATTTCAAGACTGTAGAGATTACCAAGCAAAGATTAAGTGAATGGTGGCAGAAATCGAGAGAAAACTAGGTATTTTCTTAATCACTGATGGCAAGGGGGTTTCATAGCCTCACTTTCTTTGCACTGCGGAGTGAATATAGATTTCACATTTAAATATTCTAAGCTTAAATGGTAAAACAAAATGGCTAGGTGGCGTAAGCTACCGCCCGATCCAAAGGGCTCAGCCGTATTCATCCATCCATCCATCCGAGCGCCGGCCGATTCGGGTTGCGATAGCTCGCGATCCCGCAAAAGTGTTAGTTTACACGCCGTATAGATCACGAAATACTGGCATTGTTAGTAACTATGACCCTAAAAAAGGTTCATGACATCCCTTCTTTGTTGTAGCGCTCTGTGGTGTCTGTTCTTCCTCTGTCCTTGTCTTAAAGCGCAATCATGTTTTGCCACGTACAATACCAACTACTACAACAATCAACACTTCTTTGTTGTTGTTAAGTTTTCTCTCTTTTTCTTTTTTTTTCTTGTATGGTTTTCTTTTTATTTCTGCAACGACTTACCGTTTGTTCGATTCATTCGTCCGGCTTCTAGAACCTTGTCAAGGTTCGCGAGAACCTGAAACGAATACACAGACACACACAAACACAAAAGAGAACGTAAATCACACTGTTAATACATCATAGAGGACAGTCAGCAGTCGCTAAACAGGAACCGTTTTTGCACATTCGATACAAGAGAGTTTTAGGGCACCATTTTTGCACATCCGACACTCTACGATGCGCCCTCCGGTAAGAACTGCGCATGTGCGAGTATTCTGCTCTAGCGCATGCGCAGTTCGTACCGGAGGGCCCATTGTGCCGTATCGGGTGTGCAAAAGCGGTTCCCTAAAGCTCTCTACTGGGTCAGGCAGGTTTCGTTCATGTACGACGGTCCCGACACGTTGGTCATACAAAAACCATCCGCAGAATTGTTTGAAACATAGTCCAAGAGATAATTGGCGTCCGTGTTAACCGCTGAAGCTGGATTAGAAAAATGGCAGCGGTTGTTGTTGTAAGCGTTGAAGTGGAATTTGGTGGGGGGGATTAGAGTCAATTTGTCGCTGACTCTGGGGGTAGGCCGGTAGGGTGAAGGGAGAAATGTGGGAATGTGGGGTGAGAGAGAAGATAGAAATAGAAGCAAGGGAGAGGAGTCGGTCATCAGGAGCTTCGTCTCACCGACCCGCCAGCTCTTCGTCCTGTCATCGCAGGATTCGACCCTCAGGTCTGCCGTGGGAATAAACTTGGTGTGACCAGCCCGCGGGTCTGGCGTGCCTTTGGTGGTGCCTTTCTCAGCTCGGCGCGGCAAGATACAGGTTATCGGACTGGTGGCATACGTCGAGAGTAGAACAAAGTTTCTTTTCCTTTCAATCCGTAGTGTGCAAAGAGCGCGCGCCGGGTTGCGAAGACGCATCACCGTCGCACGGAAGCTTTGCCCATTTCCACTTCAATCGGCATTTAACCGCAGATTAGTTCATTGTGGGATTTACATGTGTTAACTAGGTGGCGCGAGCCGCCGCCCGATTACAAAGGGTTCAGCCATATCCATCTATTCATCCATCGTATGTGCAGACCGTCGAATTATTATAATGTACGCTAGAGGTTCAACTGGAGATAGTGTCTACGCGACTTCCGTGACGCAAATTGTAGAAGACAGCAACCGGTTTACTGGGAAGAGGAACATTGAAGACAAACATACAAGACAGGCTTTCTTGTCTGTTTGTCTTCAATGTTCCTCTTTCCTTATCGTAAATTAGTAACCAAATTAACGCGCTCAACCATCTGCAATCTACTGTTACGGTGCTCTATATGAGAAAACGCGCGTGCATTTTATCTCTTCGACGGAATAACATGGAGCACTTTTGTTATTTGGGTCGTACCAAATAGTATGTACCTTTATTAACATTGTAAAACTTTAATTGCTTTATTTAGCGCATCCTTTTTCTTCAGTGAACGAAGTTTAACTTGGCTATACTTCAGACCCAAACCTGTGTTCCACAACAGGTGTGTAAAAGCAAGCGATGATTCTAAGCAAAATAATTGATTGATGATTCTAAGCAAATTTTTTTATTGTAAACGCACAGGCAGTTACTGATCCAGTGTTACTGCGTAGCTCTTGCCGTCTCCCTTGGTTTTTCAGACGTCCTTCGTCCGTTTGGCACGTGCACCCTCCTTAGAAAAGTGCCGCGCTAACAGTGCCCGACAGTACACAAAAATACATGTACGAAGTCGTTTTAGCGCCTATTTTAATGTGATGAATTAAAAAAAATGCCCTAACTGACCAATTATTTGATTTGCCTGACTGATAAATGTTCCAAGCTACCTAGTACGTATAAATTATTCGGGTCATCTGCTCTTGTAATCAAGCGCAGGGTGAAAATGCACCCTCTTTTCCCCACAGAAATGCTACCGGAAGTTAATTTTCGTCTGGTTGCTGCCTGCTTCAATTTTCGATAGCACACTAGCGCCAGTAGAACCTCTAGCGTACATCGTGATAACTCTATGGTGCAGACGCTTTCACGCGAAGGTGGTTTTCTGCGCACGCGCAGTGCCCACACCTGATAGGGGGTGGAAGGGAGCAGGACTGTTTGCAAAGAGCGCGGTGACGTAAAGTGTAAGAAACCTAGAACGTCTACTTTCCTGCAAGACACTTGGGAAAATACGGCCTATTGCGAGGCAATTGTGTTGCATGCGTGAAATCTTCTAACATCGCAAACGTTTAGCGGTACTCCGAGTTTCCAGACGTCTACGTCCATGGCGCTCTTTATCGGATAGTTTGACGCGTACCATATGTGTGCACTCTATAGTCGTACCTAAAACGAAGCGATACTACCACTAATCGGGCTGATAACCCTGTCGATCTTCCAGATCCTTCCATACTCTCAAGCTCCTCTCCCTGAGCGCGCACAGGTGGTCGAGTTGCTCCTCGCCTAACCCTCTGGTCACATGACCTCCCCGTTAACCAATCAGAGTCGAGCAGCTCACTCCTCCTCTCACACCGGCCATCCGAATAGTGTCGAGGTTCGAGGCCACGCTTTTATCCAGGCTTCACTTTTATCTGGGCTTTACGAAATGCCGAACGCCTAGCCAAAGAACTTTTCACGTTTAGTTCTTCGGAGAGAACTCGGTGAAGGGCGACACAAAACGGAGGATGGGTCGCCCAAGGACGAACATATTCGTCGTTTTGCAGGGATGGGGAGATAAAGGGGGGTGGGTAGGAATTGGGAGGTGATTATGGGGATGTTGAACTACGTGAACAGGATCATAGCGATTGACTTTTCCGAATGTTTTCCGGAAAAGTGGACGCTACGGATTTCTTAGAGTGTACTGTCTGAACATACCCTTTGCGTGCTTAAAACACACACTAAAATCGCGAAGGTGTTCCTGTACAAAGCAGCCGTTTTTGGCAGACAATTATTCCCGGCACTCCAACGATCTCGGCAAAAACTTGCCTGTCGTGTCTCTGGAACGATTCCTCCAGGAACCAAGAGTTTAGTCTGGGGGTCGGTTCCGGTCTGGCCGGCCAAGTACATGGTGTCTCCCACGCATATGGCGTGACTGTTAGGGGTGGTAGAAAAAAAAAAAACTACTTAATTTTCTGAAGTCACAGACTGCAAACCATGGGTAGAGGTCGAACATTTAACGCGATATGTTTCGCTAACTTTTTTACTTGAACAGCGCAAAGGATCCTTTGTTTTTCGCCAAGCGTACCAGAAACGCTCGAGCTCCTGTCAAAAAAAAAAAAAAAGCGTCAACATGATGAACATATCGTATTGAAACGAACGCGCGGTAGCGAGATTCTCGGTATAATCCATGGTGCCTGGAACGCGTCCTCCACTGGCGGATATACGATGAAATAAAAATGGAATGCATCGTAAGCTGCAGTCTGATAGAATCGAATATTCTAAACGAACCTTGTCCTATCCACCTACCCGAAGAATTTTTTTTTTAAATATTAAACACCACAGTTCACCTTACGATGTCCCACAGTGGAGGCCACGAGCCAACCCAGCCAAGTGATCGTATCACGTGACAACACGCTTCGCTGCGCCCCTTCCTAAGGTCACGTGACACACACACACACACATGGTGTGGGATTGGCTCGAATGACTCGTAGAGTCCTCCGCGGTTCATCGTAAGGTGGACTGGAGTACGTTGTATACATGTCGTTACACTGCGCGACCCTGTGAGCCCCAACACGACTCCGCCGCTCTTTCACATTTTACTTCGAAAAGGTTACCGGCGCGCATCAAGAGTACCACTTGGGCTAGGATCCCAAACGGAGCACTCTCCATCACTGTAGCATTGTTTTTATCGAGCCCTTTAATACTGAAAAAAAAAAGGGGGGGAGCGATTGTTTGATCGCGTTAACGGTCTCTCGGAGCGTATACACTGTCACGGCCAAACAACCGATCCGGCTTCTTTATGCGTTTGCGGACCCCACAAGCTCTGTTATCTCTCATGATGTCAAAGAGTTCGAAGTATGCGACCTCAACTTCGCATTCCGTTCTGAGTTCGAACCACCAGCTTTCTCAAAAACTGAGAAATACGCCCCCCCCCCTCCCAAAACAAATTAAATAAATAAATAAATAAATAATATTAATAAATAAAGAAGCACGAAACATTGTTCTAGCTTACACCGAACGCGATAGTGCCCCTCGTGGAAGTTTTCGCGTGATGAGGGTTGAATCGAATGGCCAACTTCACTACGCATTTCTATCTTTATTTATTTATATATTTATTTATTTTTTCAGGCATTTGTTTCTTTTTTTTTTTTTTTTTTTTTTTTTTCAGGCTGGCGAGCCCCATTTCCGGTAGGAAGGTCGGAGAACGATTCGCAAAGCATCAAACGTGACCCACACCCTCACCGCGGTTTTGGGTTGCCAGTGACCAGTCACTCGAAAGTGCCTTCAGAATTAAAATAAATAAATAAATACCGCGAAAGGCCCTCCAAGAGAAGGTATTACGTAGGGGGAAAAGGGAGGGGTACATCTGAGTACAGAAAGTACATAGCGTATGACTGCAAAACGAAATGAAGTATACGCGAAAACGATGAACAAGAGTTATTAGTAAAGTGGAGATAAGTAAACAAAAGGGGAAAAAAAACTAGATGGTATTGTTAGCGCACATTATCGAGTTCTTGAAATTTCGTTAGATCATCTCTATTCGCTACTCTTTAAGAAATGCCTGCGCGTCTACTTACCCGCAAAACACTCAAAGAGCCAATCTCTACGATCTATGAAATCAGCTCAGCGAATGATGTGGCGCAACATCTGTTTACACCTGAAAATTAAGTCTGCGCTGTTGCATTACGCAATGAAAGGCGTCGTGCTTGAAATTGCGTAATGCCACTGCGTAGACTTAATTTTGAGGTGTAAACAGATGTTCCGCCTTATCACTCGTTAAGCTGATTTCGTAGATCCCAGAGATTGTCTCTTCGAGTGTTTTGCGGGTAAGTAGACACGCAAGCATTTCTTAGAGTGTAGGTGTGTTGGCAGGTTCTTCCAATCAATGATTGCTCGCGGTATGAATGGTTGCGCATAAAGAGGTGAGTGCCATGTGATACAAGAGCGGTCCAGTTTGGAAAACTAATCTGAGGTGCCTGAAAGAAATGATCGCGAAATGAGATATGATGACAACGTTTGTGGAACCGTGTTACACGAGAGAGTTTCCGGCGATGACATAAAACTTGACATTCAGCAGTTTTTGTTTTTTTTGTACTATTGGAAAACAGTGAATAATCTGCAAAATGAAACGAACAGTACAAAACAGCACGACTATGGTACTAGTGTCTCGGGTGAGGCATTGCTCCATGCAAAGAAGGATTAAAAACGAGACACCATACCTGTACGGGCTGGTGGGCTTAGCAACGTCCGGACTGGTGATCACCTCGCGAGTGGCGTTCAACACCGCCTCAGATGCACCGATGCACAGTTGCATCAGCACAAAACTAAGCACCATCGAGCGCGTAACGGATGTTCCGAGCATTTCGGTGCGAACTGGCTCAAGAGGGGTCTGTATGGTCTCCCTCGGGAGCAGGCTACAAAAACAAGTGCGGAATCTCGCGAGGAAACTTTATAAGGCTGCGTCGGCCTCCAGTGGCGCGAAGGTTACCAGCCAGCAGAACCAGTTAATGGCAGTGCCTCATTACGTGACTTCCTGATAAGTTCGTGCACGTCCTTGCCACGATGACCCGGAAAAGTGCGAAACTAAGATCGGACACGTCTGCCATCTTGTTTTTTAGTTGGATTGTTTGTTTTTGTAGCTAAACGCCTTGTTTTGAAACCGTACCATTACAGCCAACCTGAATTCTCCCATTATGCTCTATAGGACAGAAGCGTTCAAGTTTCGCCGCTGACTACAATGCCATTCCAGCCCCTGGCGGGACGCCTCACACCGAGTGGTTCGCGTTGTTTTTCGCCCCGCTTCGCCGCCATAGGCGGTCGGCTACGCTAGTAGATAATATTAATTGCGATAGAGAAGATATAAAAGCCCGGCCAGCACAAATCTTTCGTTGTTGATTGCAGTAACAACCTCCGATATTGTTGTAGTCAGTCCAAAAATACGGCCGCTTCCCTGAAAAACCGTAAGAGACTCAAATGACGCCAAGCCTGGACCACCGCAGTGCTCCGACAAAAGTAAGTTCCTCGTTCGTTGGAGGATCGGTTTTGCTAAATACGCCGGAAAAACGAAATGTAATTGGTGTCAGAACAAAAACAGCATGAATACCGAACGGGGGAAAGTCATTTGGCACTGCCTGCTTGACGGAATATTTGATTTACGTGCGCGTCTGTCCCTCTTGAGGTGTTTGACGGGGCCTAGATCGCGATATTGGATTCCTTTGGCACGAACATTTAAACTGTAATCCCTGACAAGATGAGAACGGCAGGGAGGAGCTTCAGTTACCCCCGCCTCCAGCACTATCGTTCAACCTTCGATGGGGCTTCCATCTCGCGAGCCTCGAGCGTGCACGCGCAGCCAAATCGCGACGAAGGGCAGCGAAGACGTGCTGGAGGTGGGTCGTTCAGAAGAGACGCCCTGCCATTCTTACTTTGTCAGCAGTCTTGTAGCTAGGGGAGGGGCTTATGGGGGTGGCGAGTAGAGCTTTGTCCTGCCGTATTTCTTAATCGCTGTCCCCGTTTGTTTGTTTGTTTTTTTACAGCGGAGCTGTCAAGAGCTGGTTTCCCCAGGATCGTGTACCCCGCGAAGAAATGAAGACACCGAACTCTGGGCACCTACCGCCATCTATGAGCGACGGTGGCAAGCTACGTATCTGCTTGCCGCCGTCGCTCATAGATGGCGGCAGCCTTTCGACTCTGGCTTGCCGACCTGCGGCCGGCCACTACTTTCCATTGTACAGCTCCGCTGGCCTCCCGTCTTCACCAGAGTGGAAAGGCTGAAAGATTTTTTAACTGTTTATCACCATCGCGGTGTTTTCATATGACGTCAATCCGCCATTTTTTTTTTTTTTTTTTAGACGAGTTTACTGACTTGAAAGATTACATCGCAAAAACACAGTTGAGGAGATGTCAGCGTGGTAAGACTTATAAGCTTCTATGCTCTGCGCATGAGGGGTCATGTAAATCCTTAGAATGCTCGCCTTCGGCACACGCCAAACAGCTCCTAACAACAAAAGGGGGAACGAAATTGCGTCAGTGAAAACTCTCTATAATATAAACATGCATCCCCCCCCCCCGCAAAAAAAAAAAGAAACAGACACACAGAACGAATAAACTTTCCGGCCACCTCAGCCACACACACACACACACCCCTCCCCCTTCTCCCCTCCCAGAAAAAAAAGTCTGGCTACGTTATTGCTTGTCAGGCACTATAATATATTTTTTTATTATTATTTCGTGTTGATTTTCTGCTGATCACAACAGAGGTCTTATAATATTGATTTTTCAGTGGGGGCGATTCAGTTTGGATTCCGCCAACGTCACCGAGGATCTGTAGCGTGCACTTTGTGAACGCCTGCGTGGGACGACGCTCAGGCTCATCATGTAACAAGTTACATAGACAAGATGCCAGCCGAGGTGACCTTAATTTAATGGAGACTACCTACCAACCGTGCAATTGCATGTGAAAAATTCTTAGTTTATTTAAATTAATGTTCACTCCCTCGCTCGCATATACTGGTGATATTTCTTCGTCTCTTTTGCATTCTCTATACGTGCCCGGATCTTAGCCAATTAGAAGTATCGTATCGTTAGTTATTTCGTAACTTCTTGTAATCTCTTCGGTCTTCTAGTTACATGTTTTGGTTTACTCTGCACCCCAGGTTTCAGTATAACTTGGCAGCGCTAAAGATACAAATAAGTCTACGTGATGACTGTTTTCTCACGAACTGGGAGACATTTTTTGTGAGATTTGGAATATCATGAACAGCCCGTGCAAGATCCCTGAAGTAGTCAGGGTTCTTGGCCCTGAAAATTCTTCGACAGGCCTTGCTCCTCGAAATGTGTACATCAACGGCAAGTGTTCTGCCGGGCATGCTTCGACTCTGCGCCAATGTAACCGTGTTAAGAGCATGGGAAGAATTTTGATATTTATTTATTTATTTATTTATTTAACCTCAAGGTACATCGTACATTTCAGAGGGGAGTGAACACACAAAAAATTATGGCAATGAAATCAGTCAACTAAGGGCGCTGTTACCAAGTGCTTGTTTGAAAAGAGAAACGTCAGTGATGGAGGCAATTGAAGCGGGAAGGCGCTTCCAATCTGTTGACGTACGAGGTATGAATGACATACTGAATACGTTAGTGTTGTAACTTGGTATGCCAACCTTATGAGCATGATCAAGGCGAGCTGAGCGATAAGATGGTTCGAGCATGAGGCACTGACGTAAGAGTGAGTTGTGATGGTAGATTTTATGAAATAAAGAGAGACGAGCACATTTACGGCGGGAAGATAAGTCAGGTAATGACAGAGTTATTTTCATAGATGTTACACGGGAAGTACGATGATAGTTAGATAAGATAAATCGAGCTGCTCGGTTCTGAATGCTTTCTAATGCAGTGACAAGACAATGTTGGCCGGGATCCTACACAGATGAAGCGTACTCCAATTTAGAGCGGACTAGACACTTGTACATTAACATCCGTATTCACCAGGCGCGACTAACTAGCGCCGTTTTAAGGTTAGTAGCACGACTAAGTAGTCGCGAGCTAAACGAGAAATCCGCGACAAACGAGCGATTATGTTCTGCCGTATTCACTAGAGCACTATATAGCTCCTACGGAGCAGAGTAGCGCAATCCTTTGATCCGCGTGTTTCGCGAACAACATGGCCGACAGAGCAGCTCGGCGCGAGTCACGTGGTACTCAGGGTTCCAGGAGGCGGCCCGCCCTATGGGAGAATACATGGAGATCGACTCAACACGGCCGATTGAAAAATAAACGCCGAGTTCACACTTTTCGAAACTAGTCTGTCGTGAAGTTGGTAAAGTACTAAACAGTTTATCAAAGTTTTAATAATATTGGATGCGTGTGAAAATTTTGAGAAGGCAATTTTCAAGGCAATGGCGTTTGAAGCAGACGATTGTTTTGCGCAGCGGAGATGGACTTTATGGGGATTGGCCGGAGCGGGTCACTTGAATGGTGTGACGTCGCCGCGTCGTCTGCTGCACGATGCCGCTCAGGCATTTTTTTAAAACAAATTACGGTATTACATGGCACACAACTCAGCGCAAATTATTATAAACTGTTTCTTTATTATGTTAAAAACTATTGTCCTTCTGTACATCCCCGAAATATTCAAGAAACGGCGATTTTCTCACGTTCCCCATGCATTTCCATTAGGGTCATAGCAGAGAGGGTAAAAGAGAAAAAAATGCACTCCCCCTCTCGCCCCGCATCTCGACCGCTCCGCCGAGTGGGCTGTAGCTAGCGCCCGGCTGGCGTGCAAACTGTTTAAAATCGCGTCATTTTGGAACTTTCAAGCGCAGATGCGCAGATTTTGGTATGTCAGTTGTCGTGTAATATTATGCTGGATAAAAAGACTAACAGAGTCCAATTGCGCTGTTATCTGCGTGCAAATAAAAAAAAAATAGGAAAAACTGAGTCGGACTGGCCGGTCTCTCCGGCGAAAAGTGAATCCGGTGGCTGTACCTTTTTTACCATACAAAGTTCGTACTGGTGTAGGCCTTTAGCGACCATGAGTGGATGTCTGAAATAATAAATAAAAACGTGCTCTCCTGCCGCAATACACGCAGTAGTTGAGGGTAGTACTGCCGGCTGACTCAACTGCTATTTAAGTAACGGAAAGAAGATATGTCAGTTGATCATTTACCGAAGTAGAACAACATGGAGCTCTAGGCTGATTTTGGAGTAGCCATAACTATTCTAAGAACGCGAACCACTTCACAACGGCAGCCACGAGCGAGAGTTCGATGTTCGAACGGCAACCTCCCGTTTTGTCGTCTGCTAGCGGAGTCAGGCGCGTGCCCTCTCTCTCGTTTTACCCCACCGAACCCGCTGAATTTCCCGGATGTACGGAGAGGGCGCTGCTGTCGAACAAAATGGTGCCGCCCAGAGAGCGCTAAATGTAATGGTCTATATAGTGCTCTGGTATTCACGAGCGCGAAGCGAGCGGGTGACCAAAGGGGTGACCATCGAGCATGGAGAATAGAAGGGTAGGAGAGGGCATGACGTCGGCCGCGTAGCCTCCAGAAGCCATGCTCCCTTGACGCCTCGCCTCTTTCTCATTTTCCTCCTTACTCTCCTCACTTACCATGCCAACGTGACCACATCACGTGGCCGTAGCTAGCCTTCGTCTTGCTGTGGGGTACTAGAATACATCACAGTCTAGACTTCGACCTGATAAAACCTACCGGACGGAGCGCACGCAAGCCTGCAAGGAGTCCTTCTACAATCAACCATCCATCTCATACGTGACATGTCACGCGCACCAATCGCCAGAGAGATCTGCGGTCACGCTGGGCACAAAATCGTTTAAACTTTTTATGACTAGGCTTCACCAATATTGCAACGTGCCCCCTCCTAGTACTTCTAACCTCCTTGCCATCGAGTCAGAACTAACAAGCGGAAGTGACGTAAAAAGATATGTCACGCATATGCATCCTTAAACGCCACTGCGTAAATGGGTATTTTTTCGTATGAAAACTAAACTTTAAATGTTTATCAGGAAAAAAGAAGTTACAATGAGAGACATATATCCGAGACAGAGTTTTACAAAGAAAAATTTAAAAACGCCAGGGAGAAACACGGAAGCCGCATTGCCAGCGACATAAACAAATATGGAACCGCCCGTAAATGCATTTTTT